GTAGAGTGCCATCACAGAATAACAGTGCAGTAAACACTGACACACACGACTGCATACTAACATACCCACACACACACGGCTGTAAATTTAAGCAGCTTTATAACTGTCAGACGCAATACTGTTCACCTGCTTCTCTTCCATAAGAAACCTCCCACAGTTACTGCCCAACAAATTACACTGCCAATTACCAGCCCATTCACACACACACACACACACACACACACACAGTTCCTTCCTTCAGCCTGCTATGATACTCAACCTATTCACACATCATTCTATAGATGTTGTTCTAGCAAAAACATTTTAATCTTATTGAGGTTTTTGAAAGATTCCTTCTTAAAGCTACTTTAAAAAAGGTCTTATCATACATTTTTTGCTTCTTGTCTTCTGATTTGTTCCAGAAAGTGCAAACTATCCCCTAAATCACTTTCACTAGTCAAAGAGACAAAAACATTTGCTTAAAGCACCTTTAAGGTACAGTCTTGAAACCTTTTTGAAAAAAATAATCTAAATGTACAGCTCTTCCTACCATTTTACACTATTCCTCACCTCTCCCTCTGAGTGGTGATGTCAGGATAATCCCTGACTGGTGGAATTCAGTTTGAGTGACAGATTGATGCAGTGTTTTCACAGCACAAGAGAGGTCAGTGGAGGTAATGAGGCCATCAAAATGCAGAAACAGAGAGACTTAAACAGGAAAAGTTGGTTGGAGTGAAGCTGGGGCGGTTTTTTCTTGCTCTAAACAGGGAAAAAAGACAGTTTGCCCCAAAATTAAAATCTTCCTTCCTGCTATCACTCTCAAATTAAATTCTGCCAGGCATCAACGATGTGTAGTCATGAAGCATGTGAGAACCAACGATGTTTGATTATGTCATTGGTGTCACTGGCATCGCTGACGCTATTACTTGTTTTAAAAGCTACAGCAGAGGTCTAAATGTTCAGTGAAAACAACTTTACAATCCTTTTACTGTGATTTTTTTGTTCTGTTAGTAAAATGGAAGTGAACATAGAGACAAATTTCACCAAACCTGTCAAAAACATTTCCTGGTTATTATTAACCGCTGTAAATCTGCTGAGGCTTCTCTGACCCATCTCTTTTGGACACGCCCTACTAAAATAAATTTTCTGACATGTAGAGTGAAGGAAAAAGATACTATTTTTAACTACTTACAGAAAAATATACTATTATATTTAATCAGCATAAATAAACACAATGCAACACATTTTACCATGATCGTTATGGTCCAACAGAGAAACAGAATATCCAAATAATGTAGTCTCTTTATCAGATTTAAACACACAACCATACAGTGGGGAAAATATTTATTTGATCCCCTGCTGATTTTGTAAGTTTGCCCACTTACAAAGAAATGAAGGGTCTGTAATTTCTATGGTAGGTTTATTTTAACAGATAGAGACAGAATATCAACCAGAAAATCCAGAAAAAACACATTATATAAAGGTTAGAAATTTATTTGAATTTCAGTGAGTGAAATAAGTATTTGATCCCCTATCAATCAGCAAGAATTCTAGCTCCCACAGATTGTGCCCATGTGGAACACAGATTAGTCCTGTCACTTTGGGGCTGTTTACACCTGGTCACTTCATGCGGTTTGTCTGATCGGATAGCTATCCGATCGTGAAAAGATCAGGTGTAAATGCCCTTCGAAACGCATTCGAGATGGATATAAATCCGATTGCTCAAACCACTTCAGGAGGTGGTCTGGGCCGCATTCCAGATGAAACTGGACAAGTGTAAACGCATCTGGTTTTTGAAACCCATATGTAAATTTTTACTCCTTCCAAAATGTTAAAATAATAAACGTGTGAGAGCATGTTATAGGCTATATGACATTATAGTCAGATATAACTGCGCTAATGAAACTTGCATCGCCGTGGACGAGTAGCTGAGTATCTCTTCAGCAAGCCGAATAAAACAAACTGCCGCGAATTAAACAAAGATGCAGATGGTCAACACACAATCATCTTCATTAAAAGTAGTAAGACAAACTTATCTTTCCAGGGCTGATGCCGCGCGCTCTCCTATGTTGCGGTCTTTCATGTTGAAATGAGCTGATAATTAATCAAATGCAGCGCTTATCTTTTGATTTCGTTGACATGAACTTAAATTTAAATATAGCGCGGGAATTGAAGATCGGATTTAAATCCGTTTTGCAACAACATATTTATGTGGCCAAGTGTAAATTGAAGCGTTTGAACAAATCAGGAAGATATCCGATCAGCGAAAATGCATGAAATGACCAGGTGTAAACAGGCCCCTAATGTCAGCTCATTAAGTGTATAAGACACCTGTCCACACAATCTGTATCTCCCACCACCATGGGCAAGACCAAAGAGCTGTCAAAGGATGTCAGAGACAAGATTGTAGGTCTGCACAAGGCTGGAATGGGCTACAAGACCATCAGCAAGAAGCTTGGTTAGAAGGAGACAACTGTTGGTGGGATTATTCGGAAATGGAAGAAATACAAAACAACCATCAATCGGCCTTGGTCTGGAGCTCCGTGCAAGATCTTGCCTCATGAGGTAAGAATGATCATGAGAAAGGTGAGGGATCAGCCCAGAACTACACGGGAGGAGCTTGTTAAGGCAGTTGGGACCACAGTCACCAAGCAAACCATTGGTAACACACTACGCCGCAATGGACTAAAATCCTGCAGCGCCCGCAAGGTCCCACTGCTCAAGAAGGCACATGTACTGGCCCGTTTGAAGTTTGCCAAAAACATCTAAATGATTCAGAGAAGGCTTGGGAGATAGTGCTGTGGTCAGATGAGACCAAAATTTAGCTCTTTGGCATTAACTCAACTCGCCATGTTTGGAGGGAGAGAAATGCTGACTGTGACCCCAAGAACACTGTTGGGCTGTTTTTCTGCTAAGGGTACAGGATGACTTCACCGCATTGAGGGGCAAATGGGCGAGGCCATGTACTGTAAAATCTTGGATGAGAACCTCCTTCCCTCAGCCAGAACACTGAAGATGGGTCATAGATAAGCCTTCAAGGATTACAATGACCCAAAACATACTGCCAAGGCAACAAAGGAGTGGCTCAAGAAGAAGCACATTAAGGTCATGGAGGGGCCTAGTCATTCTGCAGACCTCAATCCTATAGAAAATCTGTGGAGGGATCTGAAACTTCGAGTTGCCAAACGACAGAATCCCAAATCAAAATCCCTCCTGAGCTGTGTGCAAACCTGGTGACCAACTACAAGAAAAGTCTTATCTGTGTGCTTGCCAACAAGGGTTTCTGCACTTAAGTACTAAGTCATATTTTGCTTGGGGATCAAATACTTACTTCATTCACTGAAATGCAAATCAATTTCTAACCTTTATATAATGTGTTTTTTTCTGGTTGATATTCTGTCTCTATACGTTAAAATAAACCTATCATAAAAATTACAGACCCTTAATTTCTTTGTAAGTGGGCAAACTAACAAAATCAGCAGGGGATCAAATAAATATTTTCCCCACTGTATGGTTGTGTGTTTAAATCTGATAAAGAGACTACATTATTTGGATATTCTGTTTCTCTGTTGGACCATAACGATCATGGTAAAATGTGTTGCATGATGTTTATTTATGCTGATTAAATATAATAGTATATTTTTCTGTAAGACACTAATGAAAATCACCATGTAGAATAATCGGAATTACAAATAAATTAAATGCATTGTAAAATATTCATAAAACATGGTAAAATGTGTTGTACATTGTGTATTTATACTGATTAAATAAAAAAAACATCTGTAAATATCCTAATGAAAATCACCATTTAGAAAAATTTGTAATATATATATATATATTTATAATTACAAAAAATTGTGGTGAAATATGACCTGGACATGTTTCAAAAGAAATGATACAAGCTGCAACCTAAAAGATTATTTAGTGATCCTAAAAGGTAAGAGACAGTCAGAGAGACTCTACACTGAACAATCCAAATCTCTTTGAGTTTTCCACAGGTCTGATGAAGAGCGAGAATTATGGGTAAGTGGCCAAACATGTCGGTCCTCCTCTGTCCTCCTAAGTGCAGACAGCTTAATCATCAAGCCTCAGTAAATAGCATCAGCTAAATACAGCTCTCTCGCTCACACTCGCTCACTCTCACCCTACTTTTATTTACTCAGAATGACAGATTGAAAAGAGAAAAAAAATAACTGTGGCTTTGAAGATTTGCTGTGGGGAGGAGTGTGGGATGTATATAGACACACAATATAAAAACATCAGCTGAGGTGTGTGTGTGTGCTGCAGAGAGAGAGAGAGAGAGAGAGAGAGAGAGAGAGAGAGAAATGTCTACTTTACTCTACCAAATTACCTCATGTCAGGGATTAAAAGGGGATGGGCCAGACGGATGATGGGAAAAGGAGTGAGGGATAAGTTGAAGTTGGAAGAGTGTTGATTGACAGAACAGGAGAGTGAGAGAAGGGGAAGTCTGTTGATCTTAGTCGGGGGTGACGAATATGACGGAAAAAAGAAATGGCTGCAATATAACAAAGAGTGAAAAATTTAAGGGGGTCTGAATACTTTCCGTACCCACTGTATATAGAAATAAAGAAAATTCAAAAACATTCTCCACATTCCAAACATATTTGGAATTCAAACTTTGAATGAGTCTTATCATAAGACATCATGAAATCTTTCAAATCATTGGTGAACATTGTTTCAAGAAAAAAGTTTAACTTAAAAATGAATTAAAATAAAACAACAAAATATAATATTTATTGTAAAATATATAAAATATTTCAAAATAAAAAAAATAAATATTTAAAATAAATGCACTAATTAAAAACAAAATAAATCCAAATAAACAACTTAAAAAAATTAAATAACATATAAAAATAAAATAAAATAAAATGTCTCACCCAACATATTTCCATATCAAACAGGATATTACAGTAATGAGAAGATAAATCACATTATCGAAGCAAAATAGGATGTGAATGCCACTGCAGCTTGATTTTGAGAAGTGAAGTGTTGTACATTACCTCTGGTATTTGAACAGCATAGGGCTGGTTGAAAAAGGATGGCGCATTGTCATTTACATCTCCGATCTGAATGTTCACTGTATCCTTGACGACCTAAAAACCAATTAAATCAAATAACACATACAATTAAATTAAATAATAAATAACATTCTATTAACTCTACATTGGATTTCATAGATTAAAAAAGAAAAAAAAGAAATTCAAGGTAGTCTATAGTAATTGACACTATAAAAGAAAAGTTCAACAAGACAATTTTTTAATGGTTTTAAATAAGAAATTGCAGTCAGTAAAAGTCTCTTGTGCTCACCAAGTCTTAATTTATTTGATCCAAAATACAGTAAAAACAGCAATATTGTGAAATATTATTTGGGACGGCAGAAAGCTGAGTAATGCATTTTAATTTTGAAGAAAATATTCCTTTAAACAAATTCAATGTTCAAAAATTTAGGTTCTGCTCAACAAGCTTAATTTATTTGATCCAAAATACAGTAAAAACAGCAATATTGTGAAATATTATTAACATTTAAAAAAATGTATTTGAAAATATTTTAAAATGTAATTTATTCCTGTAATGCAAAGCTGAATTTAGCTATTACTTCAGTCTTCAGTGTCACATGATTCTTCAGAAATCATTCTAATATGCTGATATGGTGCTCAGGAAACATTTCTTAATATTATGAGTGCTGGAAACAGTTAAGTGCTGCTTAATATCTTTGAGGAAACTGTGATACCTTTATTATTATTTTTATGGGGGGGGGGGGTTAATTAATAATTTTTTTTAGGAAAGTTCAAAAGAGCAGCATTTATTTAAAAAATATTTTTTGTAATTATTATCAATATTGAAAACAGTTGTGCTGCTTAATATTTTTGTGGAAACTGTGAAATTTTGTTTCAAGATTGTTTGACGAATAGAAAGTTTAAAAGAACGTGTCGGTTACGTATGGTAACCCTCGTTCCCTGAAGGAGGGAACGGAGATGTCACGTCGTGACCGACGAATTGGAATGAGGGATATCGCTTTGATAGACCAATCTACTTAGAGTGTAAACTAAACGAGCCAATGCACATTGGCATGCAATTATTACATCCAGCTGCCGCTGATCACAGCGTGATTATAATAAGGCAGCAGATAGAGGGGGGCCGGGTAGGATTCAACCTCCTGGCCCCTCTAAGGAACTTGATGACGAGGTCATGCTTACCTATGGACTTCCCATTCCCCGGGTCATGGTACGCAGCAATAGCAGCAACCTGGACTTTGAGGGTGGAGGGAGACAGCCTTTGCTACAGCCCTTGCTGCAGAAAGGAAAGCACGACTGCAATCGGGCATCTCCGGGGGTATTCTCGACGAGAAGAACACCACTCGACGAACAGATTCCACTTCAAGGCGTAAGCGTGTTGTAGATGGTGCTCTTGCCGAAGTGATAGTGTTCACTACCTCCTGGGGTAGGTTACGGTTGAGCAGGCCCAGAATGTGAACAGCACGAAGTGACCTCAGAACCTTCCGACTCCAAAGGAGGAGATGGCGGGCGAGTTGTGACATGCGACGGGAGCGCAGACCACCCTGTCGGTTGATGTACGCAGTGGTCGCTGTGTTGTCCGTTCGGACCAGTACATGCTTGCCTCGTAAGCGCCCTTTGAAACGGTTCAAGGCCAGGCACACTGCTAACAAGTCTAGGCAATTGATGTGCCAATGCAGCTGCGGGCCCGTCTAAACCCCTGAGACTGCAAGCCCGTTGTACGTGGCACCCCACCCGGTGGTGGAGGCATCCGTGTAGACCACAGCATGCCTGGAGATCTGCTCTAGGGGCACCCCTGCCCGGAGGA